GTGTGTGTGTGTGTGTGTGTGTGTGTGTGTGTGTGTGTGTGTGTGTGCGCACGTGGAGGCCAGAGGCTGCTCTCAGGTCCATTCTTCGAGTGGAGTCCACCTCTTCCTTCCTTTCACTCCTACCCTTGAGACCACTCACTGGCCTGAAACTCACCAAGTAGGCTGGTCAGTAAGTTGCAGCAATCCTCCTGTCTCAGCTCTTCACAGCCATTCCTAGCTTTTTATGTGAGTGCTGGGGACTTGAACTCAGGTCGTCTTACCTACACGGCTAACATTATTACCACGAAGCCATCTCCCCAGCCCACTATTTTTAAATCTGGGCTTTTCCTTTTCTCTTTCCATTTGCTTTTTGTTTTGTTTGTTTTACTTGTGTATGGCTAACTGAATAAAGTATTTTGTACCCACAACCATTCTTTTCTGTTCATCTATAATCCTGCTGTGGCATTTCCCAAGAGATGTCTTGTACACCCACACAGCCCCGAGCACTAGCTATGTCATCAAAACAATAAGTTACATCAGTGATAGTTTTATGTATTAAACAGTAGACTATAGATATAAAAGCTTATTTTGTTCCATGACCATATGATGGCTATTTGATGTATGTATAGCCTTTTCTAGTTTTCAAAAATGTAGTGTAAGTACTGTATTAACAGGCAGAAGGAAGAGGAAGAAGAGGAGGAGGAGGAGAAGAAGGAGGAAGAAAATTCAATGTTTATGATCACAAAAAAGTAAGACAGGGGAACTTCCTTAACTTTCTAGAGGAATCCATAGCATCCTTAATCCCAAATGTTCCTTAATAGGAAGACACTGGTCATGCCCCTGAGATCTTAGTAGTAAAACACTGGGCAGACCCCTTGAGATCTGGAATAAGGCAATGTGGTACTCTGGCACACACAATAAGACAAGAACAAGAAAAGATATTTGGTAAAAAGAGAAAGAAATTGAGGTGTCTTTTTTCACAGTTGACATGACTTTCTATAGAAAAATTTAAAAGTAAATCAGTTTTACAAACTCTCCTTGGCATTAGTGCACAAGCAAGGGGTACAAGGGCATTCATTGTACACAGCGGGTTGCTTTTGTTGTGCTAGCAATGAATGGTTGGGGTCTGAAGGTGGAGAGCACTGTTTGTAACAACACCAGGACCCAGACAGGCTTAGGTGTTTATTTTTACAAAAGCTACAAAGCAGTGGTGTAAGTAATTGGAGCAGATGTTAGGAAACAGGGAGGGGCAGTAGGGAGGGCTTCATCTTTATGGGTGAAAAGACTTGATGTCATTAAGATGTCAGTTCCCACTTGACATTTAGAATAATTGCTGCTTGTTCAACCCAACAGACTCATTCCGAAGGTTGTGAGGAAGACAGAGACCTAGAAAAATCAGTGTGTGCTGGGAGAAAGAGATGAACATTACAGATTCACTGCTGACAGAAGAGCAGGGGCACCCAGGCCAGTGGGACAGAATGTAGACTCAGTCTGTGCTGGGACAACTGAAGAGTTCTTTCTGTCTGTTTCTCTGTGTGTCTCTGTTGAAATGAATTTAGATACAGACTTTAAGCCTTTCATAAAATTCACTCAATAGATAAGATAATCAGATGTAAACTTTTAGGAGAAGACACAGCAGGGAGTCTCTGTGCCCGTGGGTTTGATATAGCTATTAGAAACCAAAAGATGATCTGTGAGAAAAAAAATCAGTAAGTTGGCAATTTATTAAGACTAAGATTCGGGCAGTGGTGGCGCACGCTTTTAATCCCAGCGCTTGGAAGGCAGAGGCAGGTGGATTTCTGAGTTTGAGGCCAGCCTGGTCTACAGAGTGAGTTCCTGGACAGCCAGTGCTACACACAGAAACCCTGTCTCGAAAAACAAAACAAACAAACAAACAAACAAAAGACTAAGATTTTTCCATTGTGGAAAAGGCATGGTTAAAAGAAATCATGAAGACAAACACAGACTGTGAGCCATGTGTTCAAAGTACCTGTTTGAAAAAATATAGTTTGAATACTCACCAGCATCACTAAGGAGGAGGGGACACAGGCAGCAGCAAATGACTGATGCCCAGCATCATGATGAAGCATGAGAAGATGCCCAGGGTCCATCATCACAGGGGTGGGGGTGGGGCACAGAACATCGATAGCTCTCACTGTGTCTGAATCATAGTGAAGCTGCAGAGGACCTGGGGCATGCGGCACACACACACACGCATGCGCGCACACACACACACACACACACAGAGAGGGAGAGGGAGAGGGAGAGGGAGAGAGAGGGAAAGGGAGCAAGAGAGAGCAAGCAGCATAGCAGTATTCATGACAGCTTGTTACTAGTTGTCAAAGATGAAGGATCTGAGATGTCCTTCCGCAGGGTGTGGGCAAACCCATGGGATAGTGTTTACTTAAGAATTAGAATGAGCTGTGATGTCATGTAGACACAGGGGACTTGCCACTGTGTACATCAAGGTGAAAGCCAGTGTAGAAGGTTCCCTATTGCTTTCTGTTTTCTTTCTTAGACATTCTGGAAAAGGTAAAACTGTAGAGACTAGATCCATAGTTGTCAGATAGTTGAGAAGGATCGAGGTCTGAGTAGGTGGAGCACAAAGGAGTTTCTGTTGGCAGCTTTTTTCTTTGCAGTGCCAGGGATTGAATTCAGAGATTTTTGCTTGCTAGGTGAAAATCTAGCTTTATCAGTGAACTGCACCTCCAGCCCAGATTTGTATGTTTAAGAGGATGAGATAATTCCGTCTATGGTAATGGTAGATATATGACAGTGTCTTTATGACAGCCCACAGAACATTATAGCACCAAGACCTCAACGCACTCATCCTAGAAATTTCAACTTAAAGATGGAGGGCTCCTAGAATAGATGCTGTTGAAGCTGGATGAGAATTCTGAAGTAGTGCTGAAGGATGTGTGCTGGCATTGGACAGCTGAGGTGTGGATGGCAGGCCCTGGGAACTGCTTTCTCTGTGCTGTGGGAATTACAGGCAGACAAGTGAAAAACTGGCACTTCATACGCTAATGGCTTAGAGTTGCGAACAACAGTAAGAATTCACGTGAGTTTTAGTTAATGTACAGTCAGGTGGTCGTGGCACAGGCCTTAATCCCTACACTGAGAAGGCAGAGGCAAGTGTATCTCTGAGTTAAGGCCAGCCTGGTCTACAAAGTTAGGGCTACAGCAGTTAGGGCTACACAGAGAGAAACCCTGTCTCAATCCCCCTCGCCCAGTCTTGTTTACATTGAGAGATGTAGCCATGAATGTATACATGGGCAATACATGCATGTGCACAAAAGTTACCACAGCTACCTTCCAGCTCAGGGTTGTGTCAGGCTCTGTCTCCTTTGGTTTCTTCCATGGCAGGCCAGATATGGACTTATAGTGCCTGGATTCTACATAGTTGGGCTTTGTGCAACTCTGTTGAATTGCCTGTTGCCTAAGAACCTCTGCACACTGTGTGTGGGTCCCTAATCTGCCCTGTCCCTTCCAGAACCATGCCAGGAAAATGTGTGAGGTTTGTCACAGAGGAATCTGTTGAATTACACATACAAAGTATCATACTTGAGATTATGTAGTATAGAAACTGCACATATTAAATACAAGTTTTACAAGCTTCTGTTTGGTGCCCAGAATAACTATTTTCAGAAACAACTGGTAAACATTTGAATCTGAACTTAATTTTGACAATTCCTTGGAAAAAATGATTCTATGGAAACCTACGAGTGTCCTGCAGGCAGCAATGGCTAATTACACCGACGTAGCATTTCTGTGATGTTCCTGCTTTATGCAAGTGGCCAATTGCTGATTCTCAGAATCTCTTGCTTTCCTTTGTAAAGCAGCAGTAGTTCAGTCAGAAGAAGGTGGGTTCTTGCTCAGCTTCTTTGCTAACATCAGGCTGTCCTTCACTCTCTGTCCTTGTGAAGTGAGGGGCTGCCACATCTCACCTCCTTTCCCACCATGCACCTGCTGTCTGTAAATCCCATTTCTTTGCCAAGTTGTCCTGGTATTCCCAGGCTTCACTGTCCTGATGCTAATAAGTTGTCCTGGTACTCCCAGGCTTCACTGTCCTGATGTCACTATGCCTAATAAGGCATAAACAAGAAGCACTAAGCACTTCCCAACATTCTTTGGCTGGCTGCTTTCTGTGTTTCCTTGTTGTGCTTGTGAGTCAGCCTCATATTGATAGACAACTTTCTTGTTGCTACTGACAGACTCAAAGCCCAGGATTTAAGTGAGAGGCCAGCTATAAATAAAGATCTACACCAAAGTTACCTTCATGCCTGGCCTATGCCACCTCTAGAAGAACCATACCCCTCAGGCCAGTAGAACTTTGCATCTTTTATCAATGACAAACCTCTTTTAGAAAGTGAACTTTGAGATGGGCAGTGGTATTAATCCTATCACTCTGGAGGCAGGGACAGGCAGATCTCTGAGTTCTAGGCCAGCCTGGTCTACAGAGTGAGTAGTGAGTTTCAGGACAGCCAGTACTATACAGAGAAACCCTGTCTCAAAAAACCAAAAGCCAAAACCAAACAGACAAAAAAAAAAAAAAAAAAACCAAAGTGAAGCGTTACAGCTATACAAACATCAGCAAATCCTCCTTGTGTCGGGCTTGGCTGGGGATGTGGATTTATGGAAGGTGAAATAAGTAGACAGTTCCCTTTGTCTGAACATCTGTCTATTCTTCATCTGTTCATTCATTCTTTATTCCATCTTCTCCTCACATCTGGATCCTTCTGAGCAGAGTCAAGGCTGTGTCATCTCACTGTTTTCTGAGGTAGCTGCAGAGACCCTGACCTGTGGTGGGGCCCAGCACTACTCTCCGCATTAAGGAGAATGTCTGTCACTACTGTGTCATGCTCCAGGAGACAGGGCAGGAGGGTGGGCCCACCTGGGATTAGATGCCACATGGGACTGTCTACCTCGTGTGACTTTAGGCCATGCTCTCAAAGCTGCCTAGCCTCGTGGAAATACGGTGATGGTGGGCAAAGGATCATATGAGCAGCCTGGCATTTAATCACTTCTCTTGTGTGTGTGTGTATATGTGTGTGTGTTTAACTCTACAGGTCAGTTTTTGGGTCGTACGAGAAATTCTAACAGCACAGACTTTAAAAATAAGGGCAGAAATCCTGAGCCATTTTGTGAAAATAGCCAAGGTAAGCTGTTTATTTATTTCTCAAAATATGTTTTCTCAGAACTTTGGCAGACGTTTTGCCTTGAGCCTGCTGGACAGAGGTGGGAGGCTGTGGCTTGACCTCCCTAGGCAGAGCCAGCTGTGAGATCTACCCGGCTGCGGGTGCCTTAGAAATGTGCCCCTTCTCACCCCGCAATTCTATGGCCAGTTAGTCCCCTTACTTAGACTTCTGGTCTCCGCTTGTGGCCCAGTGATTCCCTGGAATTCATCCATTCTCCTTTGGGTTTTATCTGATGTATTGTAGTTAGGCCCAGTGCCTTTGATCTAGGCATGTCCTGCACAGTTATATCCACAGCATCCCCACACCCATTCTGAGATAAGGGCTAGACCATTTGTCCCTGCTGCCTCTGTTCTGATAGGCCCTGTCCATTTTTTGAGTCAGGCCCTCCTTCTCCTCCTCTCTTCTCCTCTCTGCCTGTCAGGCTATGTCATGTGGTGGCTCTCCTGGACGCTGTCATACTCAGTAATAGTACCCTGCCCCCACTACCTAGATCCACCAGAGTATCCTGGACGCTGTCATACTCAGTAGTAGTACCCTGCCCCCACTACCTAGATCCACCAGAGTCTCCTAGATGCTGTCATACTCAGTAATAGTACCCTGTTCCCACTACCTCGATCTACCGGAGTCTCCTTGGCAGTGGTGTTCATACCTAGTTCATAGCTTCCTTCAAGTACACATGTGTTGTCTTCCTACCGGCCTCCTAGACCAGAACTGCCCTGGACTCAGGTCCTTTGGTGCTGGCTTCTGTGGCAGCTGCTGTGCCAACGTGGTGGAAGTCACTGTACACAGGGTATCATTCTGTTTGCACAGTAGGAAGGGGCAGTAAAGAGAGGTGACAGGTACATGCTGAGGTCTCCAGCCACCAGAACAGAACTCTTCACTATGTGTACCCTCAGCCTAGTTGCTGTCCTCTGCCCAGAAGGTTAAGGGTAGCAGTGTCACTGTCAGGAACAGAGATCACTGTCCTAGATTCTCTGGAAACACTTGGTACTGGTTTTGTGCTGCTTATGGCTGGGTCAGAAGAGGATGTTGCATATGCTTCATTCCTCATGGGAAATTAAGCTTCTGTTTGGAAATGAGCAATGTCTCTACCCAAGGAGCCCAAAATGACCCCTCCTTAATCTCGGCTTTCTCCCTTACTGACGATTATCATGTTGGCTGTGCACCATGTGTGTCCTGGGTAGGTTCCCTCCCTTCCTGAGTGTTGGTTTTCCAGTCTCTAAAAGAGAAAGGAATGGTTAGATAATGCCCTAGAGGCTTTGGCACTCTGGGAGGAGAGTCTGTGGCAGGCACTGCAAGTCAGATGCTCAACTGAAACCTCCCTGGGAACATCTATTCTTACACACAGGAAACAGTCAGAGTGTTACAAGATGTTTAAGTGAAGCACTGATTTTGTCTGGTCAGAGCCATGTTTCCAAGTAGAAGCAGGACTGTGGGGCCAGGTGCAAAGGCTTTTATCTTTGTATCTTGCTTACTGAGCTGGGCTTTGTTCAAGGTACAGGTGCAGGGTGGTAGATAATCCTTCATCCACACTCTCAGAAGACACACGTGTCAACACAGACCTTTGAGAACATGTTAGGAAAGACATGGTAGAGGAGGGGCCACCTGAGGCTGAAAGCACCCAGGACAAGTAGTGAGGGGATGGAGACGAGCCTTCCAGGTAGAGAAGACAGAGACCTGCCTGGCACAAGACATGTTCCATCTCATGTGGCACAGAAACTGTAGTCACCATGCTCAGCTTAACTCTGCGATCACAGAAATGTAGAAAGCCTGGGTAACTTGCCAAAGGAGGTGCAAGCAGAAGGAGCCGGAGTTGGCCCACAGAGCCTTCTTGCTAGGCCAGGCTTCAGTGCCCACAAAAAAATTAGAAATGGGACCTATTCCTTGAGCAAGGATGCCCCAGCCTAAAAAGCAAGAGTGTCTCAGTCTGTGGCCTTCCCTCTATGGTAAGAACTTGACTGAGACAGAAGTGACACCATGTGTCCTCACTCATGGTGTCTGGTTCAAAGGCTCATGGTCAAGGGCCTGGGGACCCCCAGCATTGCCTGCTCAGAGGAGAACCATTATGCAGATTGATAACATCTTCCCTGGCCCTCTCTCATCCAGGGTTAAGGTGTTCGCTGTATAAGCTGCCGATGCTGTTGCCACACTGGGGCCTTGGCACAGGAGCCTGTTGAGGGAGATTCAGAGTCAGCTATAAAAAACGGAGATTATCAGGTCTTGAGCCATGAGAATCTCTGTTCAGCAGTTAAGCAAGTCAGATTATGAAAACTGGAGGTGCACCTTCTGAAAAAAATGGGAGAAAACAAGCATATGTTTCCTATGAACTTCCTACACTATATTTTCTATGTGAGATATTTTAAGTGCAACAGAATCGCATAAATATGACAACATTTGGCAACACTCAAGCACGTTTTTGTTCTGTTGTCTATGGCAACAAAATAATGTATTCCATATCTTTTTCCCCCCCAGAAACTTCTAGAGCTCAACAACCTTCATTCTCTCATGTCTGTGGTGTCAGCATTACAAAGTGCTCCCATCTTCAGGCTGACAAAAACCTGGGCTGTAAGTTAACTTCCCTCAGTCTGTCCCTTTGATGTTGGCTGTCCTGTTCTTGCTGAATGTCTGCATGGCTTAAACCCCAGGCCTTCTCTCACTTGCTTGTGTGGTTTGCTAAGGGCAGGACAGTCACTGGGAACTAAAGAGATATTCTCTAGACATCCCCATAGAATCAGTGATCCCAGCCCATTTGATTCCAGGGAATGGGGAGGGTGCTGATGTGGCTGGGTTTAGAAGCTCTTGACAGATCTTCCTGGCCCTATCAACATCATCTTTACAGGCTGGGCTCAGCATGTGACTTCTGCCCTTGGCTTGGCCAGTCTTTCATCTCTGGCAAGTTCCAAAGTGCCCTTAAGAAGATCTGGGGATTGATGGTGTGCAGCTGCCCTGGGTCACTGGCTGTATACGTCAGAGTTCTCTGGAGAAGCCTATGACCCTCATATAGGAAAAAATTCTTTCTTTTCTTTTTTTTTTTTTTTTTTTGAGACAGGGTTTCTCTGTGTAGCCCTGGCTGTCCTGGAACTCACTCTGTAGACCAGGCTGGCCTCAAACTCAGAAATCCACCTGCCTCTGCCTCCCAAGTGCTGGGATTAAAGGTGTGCGCCACCACGACCCGGCCAAATTCTTTCTTTTCTTTTCTTTTCTTTTCTTTTCTTTTCTTTTCTTTCTTTCTTTTTTTTTTTCATCCTGAGGCCTTGGATAATTTCAGCTCAGAGGCAGAGGAGTCTGATAGTTATATAATTAAGTCTGTAGGAAAGTTTTTCTGCTGCAAAAATACTTTAAAAATATCTCAGACCTCTTTATCCTTCTTAGCTGGCACAGGGCCTGACGTGGGGAGTAATCACTATTTCCATAGCTCGTTAGCTTTTACCTCCTGGCCTGCCTGGTCCAAAGTCTCTCACAGGGCCACAGCCTGGGCCTTTCAAGACCTGTTATGACCCAGGGACTGACAGAACTCTACAGAGTTGCTAGACATGTTTCTTCAACTCATTTCCGACCTTCTCTCTGCCAGCCTTGGGCTGGACTCTGTTTCCTACTTTGGCTGGCTCGGGGGCCTTTAAGATGCATGAGGATAATTAATGTTGTAGGTGCTGCAGTAGTCTGAGGTAAGACGTGTCAGCCTGGAGTCTGGAAACTAGGTTTTTGTTCATATGCCATTCAGGACCTGGGCCTCCTTCCTCATCTCTGCTCTGGACAGTTGGCTTGGAGTAATGGGTTTCTGTCAGTGCTTTGTGGGGCCCTAGGGGGCCTTAGAGTTGTCTTAGGGACCACCATCTAGAGCTGAAAGAGAAGTGAGGGTACCAAGCAGTTGACCCAGTCTCCACCAGAGCAGCCTATTTGCATCTGGGGCTTCTGGGTAAGTTTCGGATGAGCTGTGGTTTTGGAGGTCAGAGCAAATGTGGAAGCTACTGTCTCTGCAGTTGCTGCCAGCCCTGCGATTCTAAGGCCATCTGAGCAGGGAGGCTTTTTTCAGAAGTTTTTGGAGACTCTTTTTAAAATAACTTTTCCATGGTCAAGATGCTTACTGTTTATTGGGCTGCTGGAGTCATGCAGGCACCTAGAGAGCTCTACTTGTGTGCGTAGGCCTTTCTGTGGGCAATGCTGTGACTTGTAGGACCTCCTAGGGGAGGGCCAAGTGGGTCAAATGATAGGAGCAGCTGGGGCTATATTCAGCTCATTCAGAAGGGTGATCTACTCAGGGACAAGCAGGACCCACAGTGAAGCGTCTGTGTACTCCAAGGGTTCTGGCTACTGCTGGGGCTGTAGAGAGTGTCAGGTCAGAGTAGCATTAGGACCGTGCAGTTTGTCAACTACAGCTTACTGTGCTGTCCCTGCACTGCAGTTTTGGGTCTATGCTGTAATGAAAGTGAACCCCTACAGTGTCTAGAGGAGCCTAGACCGAGCATTCACACAGGACTGCTGTCTCTGACACCTTGGGGCATGTGACTGACAGAATGCAGGGAACTGTGGTTCTATCTTACCAATAATCGGGAGATTTGGGAGATGTAGTCTTCTCTCTTTTCCTAAAAACCCTTCCCACTGTGTCAAGGGCTGCCAGCCAGGCTGCTTCCCTAGCTAGAGAAGACTACTGGTCAGGGCAGAAGGTGAAAGACAGTATTCTAGGGACGGAAGGCTCCAGGAGAGGAGGTTGTGCTCACCGTGTGGATTATAGCCTCAGGATTCCAAGTCACTGGCTAAGGGAGTGGTTCATTCTTAGAAAAGCTACAGATTCAGATCTGTTCCCCTGACACTCAGCTGCCTTGTTAATTCAAGATCAGCCTTGGTACAGAGCATTGGTGAATAGTGGGGCCCAAAGCCATCCTCTTCCCCTTTCAGCTGTTGTCCCCAGGCCCTGTGGAAAGGATGACCCTCTGTCACTACACATGGTAGAGCAGCTAGGTTCTCTGCCACCCTGCCTGCCTCCTCTATTCTTCAGTCTCTGGGACCACCCAGAACTTTCTGGACTACTTGTTATCCTTAATTATATTCTTTTGCCATTAGTGTCTGGTGATGAGACTGGCCATACAGATGTTGCTTCTTCTTTCTTGTGTTCCTCAAGCTAGGACTCCTGAGACTATGGGCCCACAGGGCAGGCAGGAACAAGGGGTTCCAAGAGCCCAAGTGTCTGGTGCTTTCATAGTTCTTGTGTGCAGAAGAAGAAATTGAGTTCTAACAATAGGTAGGGTAGCCAAAGATCTCCAAGTAGCAAGTGCCAGCATCAATGGGACACAGCCTGGTCCTGGTGGACCCTATAATCTGGTTGCCCCCCATGTGGGCTCCTATGATGGTGGAAGCTATAAGGACATCAGGCCAGTGCAGATAGGGCTATACCCTCCTTAGAAATTGGGGGTGAGAAATGTGGCTGGCCCACTGCACATGACTGGGCTACTGAGCATGTTTTGCCTCTGAGTGTTGTCCTTTGGTGTGCTTTGAAACCCCTGGATATATGGAAGACCTATATAGAAGGTGATGGTGTCCAGGCATGGGAAGGGAGGAGGCCAGCTACCTGGCTAAATTCTGGGTGACCTTTAGTACTAGTCAGTCAGACACTAGCTAGTAGGTCAGGGTAGCCAGTGAGCCTGGTCAGGGTAGCCAGTGAGCCTGCCCATGGCCAGAACTGACTGAAACTGAGCACAGGCCGGCACACAGTAGGATCTGGATAAATGGTGACTGGATCCATCAGCAGGGAGTCATGGTCAGCCTGGAAAAACACAAGCACCGAGTTATTTATTCCAGAGGCGGGGCCGCTTTGGAAGACTGCCTCCTCAAAGCCATGAAGCCTAAGCAAGAAACTATACTAGCCAGTTCTGGTTTCCTGAGCGTACGTCCCCTTGCGGCTCTCATTCATTGTACAGATCAAATACCTATTGAATGTGTGCTTCTTGCCAGGTTCCAGGGCTCAGGCTTTGTGCTCGTTGCTTTCCTGTAATCTGGGAAAGATGCATGCTGTTCTTGGAACTTAACATGTGCTTCCCTGGCTGGCACAGTGATCAAGGAATGTTGGTTGAGTGCATAAGTAATGAGCAAGAAGCATGCGGCAGGAGTGGAAGCAGACTGTAGAGGGTGTGGATGGAAGAGGGCAGCTTCTGTGTGAGTGCTCTGGGGAGCCCTCCCCCAGAGCTGCCTTCATGCCAAGGCTTGGATGACAAGAGCAGGAGCAACTACAGAAGGTGAGGGGTGGGGATAGCTGGTGCCCAGATGTGTAGGGAGAAAAGCTTTGGTCACTAGGGACCCGCAGGTCAGTGTGGCTGGGCTCAGCCTAGGACAGATTCTAAGTGTACTATTCTAAGTGTACAGAAAGGCTTTGAACAGGAGATGGACATAATCTCGTTGAGCGTTGTTTTCTGTGTTTTTAATCACCACACTAATGCATAGAAAACAGCTTAGGAGAAATAGAAACCAGGGACCAGTGAGTGGTGAGAGCAGAGTCCAGGAGCCAAGTGGGTAGAGCGGGGTCAGAGAGTAGAGAGATGCAGAGTGTTCTGAGGCGAGGCCTCCAGGAGTCCTGTGGCTCGATTGTTGTGGGGGGAGGAAAGGGGAATCCCTTGGTTTGAACCCTAGCAGCTGGTAAGCTGTGAAGATTCTCTTTGTAACCAAAATAATCCTGGAAGAGGCTAGCTTATTCCTGAGAGATCTGGAATTTGTGAAGTGTAGGGCAGTCACCTATTAGACTCCATGTGCCACACGCACGTGCCCATAGTGACCCTGTCTTTCCTACCGGATTGGTCCAGAGTTTGACTCACATACAGCAGCAAAGTGAAAACTGAAGTCCTTGGCATGGAGATGAGCACTGATGGGCAGTGGTCTGGCTGCTGGGTGGGACCTGGAAAGACACAATACAACAGCAAGAGCAGACACCACGGCCGGCAGATGTGTGGCATTCCAGTGCTTTGTATCTGAGACCCATTGTCCAGGAAGCACTGCTGCTCCCTGTGTCTTCAGCAACACCATTGGTAGCTCTCCTGTGGCACAATAGAGGAGGCTGGGGAAGCCTGGGCTGCCAGTCTCAGATGGCTCTGAGCCTTGGTTTAGCTGGAAGCTGAGCCAGATGAGGCAGATTGGGGGGGGGCGGGGAGGCCAAGGAAGGCAATGGTAGAAGCCCCAGGCCACTGCTCCTGTCATTGAGCAGGAGCCAGCCTAGAGCTGCTCCTCAAAAGTTGTGCACTGTGACTGGGGAAGCCGATGTTTCACCCTCTTGTGCCTGCCAATGCTATAGCATTGGTCACTGCCCATCCTCCACCTCCTGGAAGCCTTTTTTTCCCAGACTAGCTCTTCTTCCACTCTTCTAACAGCTGACTTCTTATGTGACTGGATGTGGAGTCTCTATAAGATTCTGACCTTGGTCCTCACCTTATGTTTCTTTCCTTGGCGAGCAATGCACACCTGCTTGGAGGGCTTCAACTGTCACTGTGTCCGCTAATGTCAGATCTCTCTCATGAGTCCCACACCCCCTGTGGTACCTGCTGCATCCAGTCGCAGCCCTCCACGTGTTCCTTTAACCTCAT